ATTGGTGGAAAGGTAAAGTCAGCACGGTGATCCACGAGACAACAAGGCGTGGCCAGGTGTGGAAGCAGGCCTAAGCTGGATACCTGCAGGCCTACTGAGAACGGAAACACATCCCATGAAGACGGAGAGTTCTCTCATTGTTCTCCAGTCAGGACTCAGTAGTCTCTGAAAATCCTAGCAGGGTATGAATTGGTGGGTGGGGGGCTTTTAGCCAAAAGCCCAGGGGGGCCAATCCAGGTCCTGGAGATGTATCGGCCTGCAGAGTTTAGCTCCAAACCTAATCAAAACCTCATCAGTATATATTCTGGTCTGGATAGAACCTTTTTGAAAATGGTTCTATAGCACCAAAAAGGGTTCTGCTATTGGTGCAAGCTTGACAGCTTAGCAATCGCAGAGCCCTTTTTGGTGTTATTTAGAACCATTTAAAAAAATGTTCTATATTGAACCCAAATCAATCTGCAGAGCCATTTTACCCATTTTACCATGCAAAGAACCATTTGAGCATTAAATGGTTCTAAATAAAACCATTCCCTTTACTAAAGAACCCTTAAGGAACTATTTTTTTGAAGAGTGTACACATGTAAGTGTATATTCACAGAAGGGTTCCATGTGATTAAAGACAAAGGTTCTTTAGCGTTAGCGGTAGCCGGCTAGCTTGAGTGGTCAGGAGAGTAGAGGAGGCTGAAGACTGACCTGTTGCTCTCTTGCTGTTTTGAGTATACACTCTTTCTCTCTCAGCTCCACTCTTCTCTCATCTTCTCTTTTACTTTGCAAAGTTGTGCACATAAACTGTGATGCTGTGCTACTGACCAGCTAAGCTAGCTCACCAGCTAGTTCTACCAGAGAACTCATAGAGAGGAGAATTACCACCCCGTAATGTCATCCAGGTTTCTCAAACGCTAGAGGGCGCTCCTGAGCGAGTCCAAAATGAATGGGTTAAGATGGAGCATTTGAGCAAAATCACAGTTTATAAATGCTGAAACATTTTTAATATAAAAGAATTCATTCATTTCAGCATAAAACATTTTAACACTGATGTTTTATTTCTAAGAGCTCTTAAACTCGAGTTATAGGAGTTTAAAACGGCGCCTCATGAACGTCCATGACGTCTGTGAGCGCGAACAGCCATTGAGCTGCTCCGCTCGCCAACCAGTCAGCACTCAGTATCAGTAATGCCACCGATCTACTGCCCAAAACTTGTTTACTGTAGAATAAAGGAAACACAGGTTTTCTTTGCGTTTTTAGTGAAACTCATCCTTCTACTTTCTAAAATTAAAGGAAAGTTCTGGTTCAGTGATTAGAAACTATTTTAACTTTTCATTTTTAGTCGTTGAGCTCTGTTTACTCCCATTTATTGAGGACTCGCTCACAGGCGCCCTCTGCTGTTTAGCAGTCCTGTTTTTGATATAACGGTGGAAATAGGAAGTGGTCAGGCTCGTCATAAACCGGCTCTGGTTCTACTACATTTCTTAGATCTAATTATTGCTGCGTATGTGCGTTAAAAAGACCGATTGAATGAGAGATCGCAGTCGGGGGTGGGGGAGGGAAGAGGATGGGGGGTTGTTCACATATTAATGGATATGGCTGATTAGTTTAATCATCACAGATTTGTTTAATCTGAATGATGATGAAGCGTGACTGGTGTATTACAGTCCTGTGCATGTTATCGTTCAGATCTTCAGCTTTGTCAGATCACATTCTTTACAAATCAAATACAGTCCTGTGCAAAAGTTTGCCCACCCCTGCCCTGGACAAATGACATGTTTTGTTGATTTGTGAAAATAAGAGAACACGTCCTCTACAGAGACACACTTCTGCACATTTTAATGCACAATTACTGTTTATCTACTGAATTTAACATGTCGGAGAAAAAATAAAATATAAAATATGGCCTTTTTTGTGTGCTAAAATTAGCAGAAGAATGCCCTACTTAAGAGTGTTCTCTGTAGAGGACGTGTTAATTTAAGCTCTGTTGGAGCTGGATCGGTTTTGTCTGGGGAGCTGCTGTAATTTGAATGATTACCAAAAAGACCCATGATTCTAATCAGTATGAATCTGCAGTGTGTGCAGTTTTACAGTCTGACCGTAATAATTGTGGAGTGATTTTAATCCAGTATGAATCTGCAGTTTTACAGTCTGACAGTAATAATTGTGGAGCGATTTTAATCCAGTATGAATCTGCAGTGTGTGTAGTTTTACAGTCTGACTGTAATAATTGTGGAGTGATTTTAATCCAGTATGAATCTGCAGTGTGTGTAGTTTTACAGTCTGACAGTAATAATTGTGGAGTGATTTTAATCCAGTATGAATCTGCAGTGTGTGTAGTTTTACAGTCTGACTGTAATAATTGTGGAGTGATTTTAATCCAGTATGAATCTGAATCTTTGTTTTCCTTTTTTGTGACCTAAAGACAAGGCTAACCGCTAAATAGAACTTGATTTGACCCAGTTTCTTAATTATGACAAGACTACTGAAATGCACAACCATTCTATGTATATTGCTTCCCGTACTCTATGATTATGCACCATAATTTGGAGTTACCGCTGATAGTGAGTCGCGTTTTGCAACATTTAGCTGCACAGTGAGTTGTTATTGTTTAGAAGTGTGGTGCCTGTTGCATAATGCTGACATAGACATCCGCTCAATGATGTTTCAATCCGGGCCATTTGGGTAATTTCCTTTGTCCTGTACGAATCGGCCAGTCAAATCACTCACAGATAACAGTACCGGACCACCTTTGGTGACGCTAATCCAGCTCCAATAGGGCTTCATTTTCACTTAGAAAATCAACACAGTGTAATTTGAGCAGAGGCAACAACAGAGTTCAGAAATCGTGTTATTATCGGAAAAGAGTAGATAAAATGGCAGAAGTAGCCACATCGGCTTTACACGGCTAAAGGATCGTTTTGCAAATGAGATGTGAGGAGCCTTTTTAGGGCTTAAGGAACCTAAAGTTGAGGTTCTGTACCAAATCATTTTTATTGAGCCCTGCTGGTGACTATATAAATAAAAATAATGCGTGGCCACGCCTTCTTAACGCGTGGGAACGGATCCTAATGTGTGGCCATGACTTAGTACGGCGTGGGAACGAGATCACGGCATACCAAGTCATGGCCACGCATTAGGATCTCGTTCCCACACTTTACTAAAGTCGTGGCCACGACATAATCATCTCATTCCCACGCCTTACTAAGTCGTGGCCACGCGTTTATTTTATTTATACAAGTATCTTGTGGCCACGCCTTACTAAGTCATGGCCATGCATTAGGATCTCGTTCCCACGCCTTACTAAGTCATGGCCATGCATTAGGATCTTGTTCCCACGGCTTACTAAGTCGTGGCCACGCATTAGGATCTCGTTCCCACGGCTTACTAAGTTTCGTGGCCACGCATTAGGATCTCGTTGCCACGCCTTACTAAGTTGTGGTCACGCATTAGGATCTCGTTCCACACCTTATTAACTTGTGGCCACGCATTAGGATCTTGTTCCCACACTTTACTAAGTCGTGGCCACGCATTAGGATCTCGTTCCCACGCCTTACTAAGTCGTGGCCACGCATTAGGATCTCGTTCCCACACCTTACTAAGTCGTGGCCAGGCATTAGGATCTCGTTCCCACGGCTAACTAAGTCGTGGCCACGCATTAGGATCTCGTTCCCACGCCTTACTAAGTCGTCGCCACGCATTAGGATCTCGTTCCCATGCCTTACTAAGTCGTGGCCACGCATTAGGATCTTATTCCCATGCCTTACTAAGTGGTGGCCATGCATTAGGATCTTATTCCCACGCCTTACTAAGTGGTGGCCACGCATTAGGATCTTATTCCCATGCCTTACTAAGTGGTGGCCTATTTTTAAGAGTAATGAGAGTAACACATTTAAAGCGTGGGAGGCGGTGCCAGTGACCCAGTGACCCAGTGACCCAGTGACCCGAAGACGACTGATACAGTCGTCTGCATATGTTTGGACAAATTTCATTAATTTTTAAGTGAAAATAAGTTACACAGAGACATACCTGCATGTTTTAAAGCACCATAACCAGTTATTTGCTGAATTTAACATACTAGAAAAAATATAACGAGGCCTGTGCAGAAGTTCTGGCATATTGTATGTTGTGTGTCTTATGTTCAATTAGTTAAATTAAGCAGATAAGTCAAAATTCAGCTCTAAAATTTGCAGAAAAAGGCCAAGTTTGTTCCCTGTAGAGGACGCGTTCACTTATTTTCACTCAACAAATGCTGTTTGACTGGGGGTGTTCAAACTTCAGCAGACCCCCGTCAGTTCAGTGAGGCGTCTAACGTGTGGAAGCGCAGCTCCAGATGCATTACTCAGCACTCTGCCCGCTCGCATTAAAACGAATGGCTCATAATTACAGAGAAGCTGCCTCCGAGGCCTCCTTAGGTCGGCGGCATGCGGCCTGGTGTGAAGAGCGAGGGGGGCTGCGTGTTCTTTTACGTCTCGCACTTAAAGCGACAGAACAAGAACACAGAGATGCACTAAAATGTCAGGAACCCTGTCAGACGTACACACACCTCCTGTTCCCTTCGTATTTATTTATCTCCCCTCTGGTTTCTGACAACCTTTACACCTCGTCTGTCACGCTCTCTCTCTCTCTCTCTCTCTCTCTCTCTCTCTCTCTCTGTCTCTCTCTCTCTCTCTCTCTCCTCCTTTGGAAGGGACGAGTGGCATTGACAAATGCGGATTTCATACGATACTAATAATATCCCGGGCAGATTTTTCATCTTTGCTTAATGTGACATCTGATTTAGGTCAGTCGTTAGTTGTTGGATGGCTCATTAATTCTTCCTTTTGTCTTCTGCCCCTGCACGTTTCAAACGACCTTCATATATTATGTTGATTCTTTTACGTATAGAATTAATATCTGCAGCACTCAGAGCGTTTTTTTCTTCCTTTCTTCTCCTCCTGCTGTGGTCAGAGATGGATTTGGACTTCCTGCTCTATTTCTGGGTATCACCGGCTCTCTGTATGTGTGTCCTGCAGGTACATGATGAACGTGACCTGGGACGGCAGGGATTTGTCCTTCACCGAGGACGGATACCAGGAGCATCCCAAACTGGTGGTCATCGTGCTGAATAAGGACCGAGAATGGGAGAAGGTAGGGGTGTTAATTTCTGACCTCATGATGATTTGTTTACAATTCATTAGGAAGTGATTCAGTGCATCGTGAGTATCAGATTTTACCATGATTCAATTATGATTCTTCTGGAAATGATTCTTTGCATGAAATAGATTCTTGGCTTAAATTTCATAGTGATTTAATTCAGATTCAATAACAACTCTGTAACAATTCACTATTTCATGAGATGAGATGATTCAAATGCGAATCTGTAGCAAATGATTCAGACCATCATAAGATCTTAAATTTCATTACGATCTCTTTATTTTTAGGAAACGATTCAGTAATGAAATATTAGATTTCACCATGATTCAGTTACAATTCTGTAGCAAATGATTCAGTTAATCAAGAAACAAATTTTATTACTGTGCGATTTGTATTTGATTCTCTTTTTCAGGAAATCCTTAGAAATCTCAAATGATTCAATTCAGTTGGATTAAGATTCATAAGAAAAGATTCAGTGCATCATCAAATCTCACCAGGATTTTATACATATTTCATATGATTCCTCAGGAAATGATTCAGTGCATCATGAAATGTCAAATTTCATCATGATTCAATTCAGATTCTATTTTATTACAGATATTTAGGAAACAATTCAGTGCATAATGAAAATCAGATTTCACCATCATTAGATTCAGCTTCGATTTTGACTGTTTAGTAGTGACTCAGTGTACAGTGAAATCTTAGATTTCTCCACAATTCAATCCAGATTTGATTAGAATTCTTTGAGAAAGAAATCAGTGGATCATGACATCTGACATTTGAGTACTATTCGATTCTAAATCTTTAATAACCAATTCAGTGGATCATGAAATCTCAGATTTCCTCCTGATTTGATTCATATTTGATTTGATTATGATTCTCTAAGAAATGATTCAGTGCATCATGAAATATCAAACGTCAGCATGATTCAATTCAGATTCAATTAGATTATGATTCTTTAGGTAATGATTCAGTGCATCATTAAACCTCAGATCTCATCATGATTCATATCGATTCAATGTGACTATTTTTAAGAATTATTTCTAAAATTATTTCTCATTTATTTTTGTAAGTACACTGAACAAATCTGACTGAAGGAACTGTTTACAGACAGGAACACAGACAATAAATTGATAAAAACAATACACCGTGCACCAACATTTGTTACGATTTTTCATTTGTTTTGCATTTGAAAATGTCCTAAAGATTTTATTTTGGGCAAAAATGACCACATGCTTTATAGAAAATTATTATAATTGAGTATAATTGATCCTAAACTTCTCAAATTGATGTATTTGAATCCGCCTCTTCGGTTTGATGCGTCACGCAGTATTTTACAGCCCTAGTTGCTGCTGCTGACCTCTTTACCAGCACCATTACAATTTCATTATAGCTCCTTCAAGCAAAGCGTCATTAACAACTGTTCACACAATATTGGTGCCCATGAAGCCGCCATTTTAATTACAGCCTGGAACGGTGTAGAAGTGTGTCAGCGCAGTAATTACCTCGCCGCTTCGGCCGCACGTTGCCAGATATTGCAAATTCGGAGTTGTAATTAGGCCTTGGGTTTTTTTTAGAGATCTCAACCCGCCCAGGTTTGCACTTCAACATGAACACCCACATGTTAAGTAGCGCATACGGACACAAACACACAGCCGGGCCTCCTTTTCTCTCAGAGAGGCTCCAGTACAGTGAAGGTCTAATTGGAAGAGCGAAACAATGGAGGAATTGATTTGTGTGGACTCTTCTGCAGCTCAGTCAATATTGGTAGGAGGCTTAATTGGCAGGATTGGTCCCTCACCGAGAGACGCGGCCACTTATGAAAAGCATGATTTCACGTTCGCGCCGAGAGGTCCACTTCATCACGGTCGGAGAGACGGATATGATCACAGGGACTGTGGGAGTCGACAGACGCGACGATTCTTCGCAAGGAAGTCGCCTTATTTTCGCTGCAGAGCCACAAATTGGTGGTTTGTCTTAATATCTGCTCTTCTGGCTCGTTAAGCCGCAGTTGTCTGACCGATACCTTATTGGATTTGTGTTACAGTTGGGTAAAGTGTGCTAAATTAGACCCCAGCGGTAAACCTTGAGCTTCGCAGACCAGGGTTGGAAATCTTATTTGTAGAAAAGCTTTACGTTTTTAACGCTGTAATGTTTGATGGGTCTTTTTCTCGAGGAGCTCACAGACTAATACGTTCAACAAACACGTTCCTCTGTTTCTCTGGGCCGGTTTATGTTATGTAATGTTTACACTGGTCCTCAATCCTCCTTTTGGAGATCAGTGTGCATGTAGAGTTTATTTCCAACCCGGATGATGTGCTAGATTTCAGGGTGAATCAAAACTGAGGCTTCAACTAATAATTATTTTAGCGTTCATTAATCTATTAAGAATTACTCCATTAATTGATTAATCAAACTATTATTCTGCAATTGCTCTTCCTTTGCATCCAGCAGAAATCTCAAATTTCCATAAGCTCTTTAGGAAATGATGATATGCGTCATAAAATCTCACATTTTATGGTAATTCAGATTTAATTTGGGATTTTTAGGAAACAATTCAGTTATGAATCTTTAGGAAATGATCCAGTGCTTCATGAAACCTCAAATTTGATCATAACTTGATTCTTATTTGAAACAATTTCAGTTCTTCGGGAAATTATTCAATGCTGCATTAACCTTTTTTCACAGTAGCCTTAAACTTATGTATCACAGTGGTGATCCTCAGTGTTCCTGTGCACTGCAATCTGTCAGAGTGACTGTGTGGATCATATGAACATTATAGAGCTTTTTAAATGAAACAGTAGAAGCCATATCGCCCCCTACACTTCCTGTAGAGTATTACAGTCTGTCAGAGTGACTGTGTGCATCATATGAACATTATAGAGGCTTTTTAAATGAAACAGTAGAAGCCATATCGCCCCCTACACTTCCTGTAGTGTATTACAGTCTGTCAGAGTGACTGTGTGGATCATATAAACATTATAGAGCTTTGTAAATGAAACAGTAGAAGCCATATCGCCCCCTACACTTCCTGTAGTGTATTACAGTCTGTCAGAGTGACTGTGTGGATCATATGAACATTATAGAGGCTTTTTAAATGAAACAGTAGAAGCCATATCGCCCCCTACACTTCCTGTAGTGTATTACAGTCTGTCAGAGTGACTGTGTGGATCATATGAACATTATAGAGGCTTTTTAAATGAAACAGTAGAAGCCATATCGCCCCCTATTTTTTAAAAATAAAGGTTCCTAAATGTTTATTGGCTTGGACGCACAGTTTTTGGTGTAGAATGTCTTTGTGGAGGTTCTTTAAGGATTTTCACACTCACACAACTCATTTATGAAAAGAACCATCCAAATGATGAATGAGGTTCTTCTGTGGCTTTGCTCAAAGAACACTTTCTCGCACTTTTATCTTTAATAGTGCAGCAGAGGAATGTTCAGATATGAGATCACTTCAGATGAAAGCTCTGGCAGAACGCAGACCTGAGCTCTAGCCGCTCCTGAGCGCGGTGCCATGTGAGGTTTCCTTTATTTCCCTTTAGCCCTGCAGACCTCGCTGTGTTTGGGGTTTGATGGGACCATCAGTGGCAGATGGCTCAGTAGCAGGACTACACGCTCTATAAATAACACCACAACTCTCTCTCTCTCTCTGCTAACTCCTCTGCACTCTTTCTCCAATTCATTTCTCTGTTTCTCTGTATATATTAGAGCTGTGGCTGGTGATTGTGCATGTAATTGAGTAATATACTGATTATTATGATTATTAAATCAAGTAATCAGAATGAAGCCGCAGTACAGCCTTTCATAACTAAAATAATCACGGGTTTATCTCTCTGCCTGTCCTGATTTCCTCGCCAGTGGCCGCCGCTGAAACCGTCCACGGTCCTCTTGACTTTTTTGTGTCGTGCTGACAGCTGCAAAGATCGGCCCGTTTGTGATGCCAAATTGAATCCACATGAAAGTAATTACATTAATTAATTCCATGTCAAGTTTCTGCTTGTTGATGTTGATTAAAGCAGAACAAAAACGGGCGCCGGGTGCCACTCAGGCTGAACGCAGAGTGGGATTTCGCTTTGTTTTCACTTGTGGAAGCACAAAACAGAGAATGGCGTATATATGTGTACATATTTGTATATCTGGTATATAGACCAGACATACAGATACACAGATAAGAAGGCTTTTGGCACAGTCATTACCAAGAAACAGGAAAAGGTCTTATCCAGGAAAAACCTGATACAAATCCAGCAAAGCGTAACAAGGACAGGTCCAGGCAAACAAGATCCAACAAGGAGTTATGCAGAAAGATAAAGTCGAAAATCCAGAGCGAGGTATGATACACAGGTGGTCAATAAACACAGAGATGACCGCTCAGTAGCCCGGTAACAGAAGCAACTTGCTAAACTAAAGCCTGAGTTTATGTACTATCTATAGCAAACAATCATTACAACCGGTTTATGAGGAGCCTGGCCACTTCCTATTTCCACCGTTATATCAAAAACATGCTAAACAGCAGAGGGCGCCTGCAAGCAAGTCCTCAATGAATGGGAGTGAATAGAGCTTAACAGCTAAAAACGAAAAGTTAAAATAGTTTCTAATCACTGAACCAGAACTTTCCTTTAGTTTTAGAAAGCAGAAGGATGGATTTCACTGAAAACGCAAATTTTTCCTTTATTCTACAGTAAACAGGTTTTGGGCAGCAGGACGCTAACATTACTGCTGCTGAGTGCTGATTGGTTGGTGAGCAGAGCAGCTCTTTGGCTGTTCACTCACTATGATTTTGCTCAAATGCTCCATCTTAACCCATTCATTTTGGACTTGCTCAGGAGTGCCCTCTAGTGTTTGAGAAATCCTAATTACAGAGTGCTAATTCTCCTCTCTACAAGTTCTCTGTCAGTACTCAGGTGAGGAAGAACACGATTGGGTGACGGTGGTCGTGCTACAGTCATGTGATCTCCAAGGGAGTTCTGGGAGATCGAGTCCATAGAGGAAGC